AGGAGTGAGAGATATTTTTCAATATGATCAGAACACGAGATAACATACCACATGTCTACATGTTACTACACAAATTGTGAGATATGTGTATTAAAAAATTAATAACTTAAAAAATAAAAAATTTCACCACTTATATTAAAACACGTGGTATACTATTCGTGTTCCGATCACAATGAAAAATTTGTTATTGTGTGAGCCATTGATGATGATAATGGAACAAGTGCGAGCTACCGACGACGAATAACGCAGACGGTGTCTGCTGCGAGCAGCAACAGCAAGAGAATAAGTTGAAACCGCTGGAACGGCCACCGGATGGATATCGACCAGTCTGGCCCCTCGAAAAACGTAGATCCCAAGTGTAGGGTTTCGTCTTCCTCACTGATTGATGCATATACATACATATAAATGCATGTAGATTGTAGTGGTTATAAAGGAGGATTCCAAGCGATGTAGCTGATGTGTGCAATGTAGTTGAGAGTAGGGTTAGCTTACTTTTATTTTAATTTTGTTTTCGTATTTGACGTATATTGTGTATGTGTCTTCGTTGATGTATCATGTAGCGCTACTTTTAACTGTCACATATTGATTTTTACGTATTTTGAAATCGGAACGCAATACGAATTTGTTTGGATGTGCTTTTAAAATGACTGAAAGCGCTTTTGATGAAAATGTGTTTGAAACCAATCCTTAGTAAAAATGCAAGTAAATCGTAAAAAAACACTTAAAATGCTTACTGGAAGAAATACATAACTGGTGTTTCTTGCAGAAAACATTTAAAAGTGCTTTTGGAACTTAAAAATATTTTCTCTAAAAGTGTTTTCAGCCATTTTAAAAGCACATCCAAACGAAACCTACATTACCAAGATTTTTCTTTTGCTTTTTGGAAAGGGATTATCTCCGGATCTCTTTTACCAAATACATCATATCAATCAATCCGAACCTTTGAAATTTGACCTAACGGTTAAAGTTATTATAAATTTTAAAGAGGTCCTTGTTTTTAACCGTTAAATTAAATTTCAAATGTCCGAATTGATTGATGGGATGAATTTAGTGGAAGGGATCCCTTTCCCAATTTTTCCCACAAAGAAAAAAGAATAGAAAAAAGCATAAATTGATAATTGAATGGCATTGGCATGCTTTTGTGGTTGGATGTGGTGGTGAAATTCGCACCTTCCAAACCGTCAAGTTTCCAAAGCGAAAGCAAAGTGTTTTACTCAGTTCCTCCTCCTCCTCCGCAGCAACATCCCAGCAAATCAAAGCTCAGAAAACACCAAGGAGAGAGAGAAGGAAGAAGATGTTGTTTCAGGTGGGAGGCCAAGGGACTCGCCCCACCTTCTTCGAGATGGCGGCGGCTCAGCAGCTCCCTGCCAGTCTCCGCGCCGCCCTCACCTATTCCATCGGCGTAAGTTCATTTCTTCCTTTCTCTGAAATTCGATTGATTCTTCCTCCCTGGGGGTTTTTTGGGAGCCTTAAAAAATTTGATCTTTTTATCTTCTGTAAACTAAATTAATGTCGAATTAATTCAATAAAACCACAGGTATTAGCTTTACGAAGACCCTTCCTCCACAGGGTTCTGGACTACGAGGACGAGTTCTTCTCCTTGCTCATGCTCGTCCTCGAAACTCACAGCTTACGAACTACAGGCACGTTTTCGGAATTCAGAATCTTCATGAATCCATCAATGGCTGTTTCTGTTTTGTTGTTACTTAATTTGTTTAATAATTTGGTTTTGTTTTCTGGATCCTGTTTGTTTTCTGCTGCAGATGCTTCGTTTTCGGAATCGTTGTACGGGTTGAGAAGGAGGGCTGTGAAGATAAAAGCTATGAGGAATGATGATCCTCGACTGAACCCAGGTGATGAAATTCAGCATTCTGGCTTAGAGAAGCGCCAGAGACTTCTTTCGGTTGTGTTTTTGGTACCGTCTCTCCTCTGCTCCTTGTTCATTCTGTTTATCAATTTGATTGAAAAGTTTCGTTTTTGGTCGCGCCATTGTTTGATGAAATAGTTTTAGGAACATATTTATTCTTACTGGAGTGATTGGTGATTGCTGGGTGTAAAAAGTTATAACTTTTAGACATGTAGGTTGCTTATCGTTTGTAGCACTGATACTCTTTCTGAGAGGCAATAGATAGACCGCTCAAAAGGAAGGAAATGTTTTAGGATGGTGGAACATGTGAGATTATTTTAAAAGTTTCCGTTTCGAACTTCATCAATCCGAAATCATCCAATTTTTTTCAACTTAGTGCTATGACGGTTTCTTCTCTTTTAGCTCTAGCTATATGAAGGAGTGATGATTTGTGAACCAATATGTATCAGGTTGTGTTGCCTTACTTTAAGTCAAAACTGCATTCAATCTACAATAGAGAAAGGGAAGCCAGACTTCAAGCGAGTTTATGGGGACACGTTGATGAAAGATTTGATGATGCTGACATAATTGATAGAGGAGAAGATGTTGTTGTTTCACGGGGAACTTCAGATATGGTCGTATCAGTTAGGACGCGTTTGACCACAAAGATCCAGGAATTTATAGGTGCTTGCTACCCATTGCTGCATGCTAGTAGTGAAGGTATGTGCATCTTTCTAGCTTGGGCTATATTTGCAAAGAATGACCATTTAACTTTTCTGGATCTGATTTTTTCTTTTCTCACGTATATTTGTGAGGATACACATGTCATGCATAAAACAATAGTAGAAACTGAAGCAAGTAACTTAATTTGCGTAATTATATAAATACTTATTCAGAAGATTACTACTTGCATACTTTTTCTTATACAAAAGGTCGTGTTGACGTGATCGTTAATCTTTAATGTAATGGAAGATATTTATCTACAGTCCCCATGATGTATAGTGTTCTGTGTAGTGTTTCCAATGTGCGATGTTACATCTTCTTGGTGAATCTATATGGTGATGTCTGTTGAGAAGTACTGTAACTCCTTTATCTGTGTTAACTGTCACCGTACCTCTGGTTAGATAATACATTTTAACCAAGAATTGATGATGCAGGATTTTCGTTCGCTTACCAGATGTTATACTTGTTGGATGCAACTGGATTCTATTCCTTAGGATTACATGTGCTTGGGATTCATGTCTGTCGTGCTACAGGGCAAGAACTGGTATAGTGTGGCAAAGTTTTCTTTTGGATCCCTTGTATTTATCTTTTTTATTATTTTAGTGCATTTAGTCGGGGGTTTTGTGTTTCTTTATACTTTTATCAGGTGAATGTTATATTTATGTGAGTGACAAAAGGACTTTTGATAGTAGACCTGGTCATGAGTCATGGCATCTTTTTTCTGTACATATAATTCAGTAGTTGAAATACAGTTTTTTGGTGTCAAGGTAGATGGATACTTCTTCTAGAATTTCAAAAACAAGAACCCGTGAACGTGAGAGACTTCGTGGCCCTCCATGGTTGAAGGTATAACTTCATCTGTTTAGTTTGATTCTTAGTCATGTTGATTTGTAACATAAGATAGTAATTTGCCTTGCATATGCAAGTAGTCTGCTATATAATTTGGTTTGATTAGTGATACTCCACGAGGAAAAAAGGAATCTATATAAAACTATTTAAAAATTATGAGGAAGGAGTTATATTTGTATTGACTTGAGCTGGTTCTCTTTGTCTGACAATTTACCTACAGGCATTACAAGGAGCGTTGCTCAGCGGTACATACACTGTGCTTGATTATGCACAGACTGGGTTAATTGCTGCGGTTTTCTTTTTTAAAGTAAGTGTGGCTAACCTTACTAGCTTCTACAATGTTATTTATGTTTCTGGAGAAAGCATAAATAATCTTGAATTTGAGTATGACTTCTTTCCGTAATCTTTTATAATCACATATTTTTAGTGCTAGACGGCTAGTCTAACCATAGCTAAGAACTGTAAGAAAGTCGGAGGTTGAATATAAATGGGACATGTCCTGGAGGAGAAAAGGATAAAAAGAGAAAGGAGATTGAGGTGGACACTTTAAACGTGAATGTAGATGAACAAAGTGACAACAGGATAAAGAATATATGAGTTTTGAAGATCCTGCTTTTAGTGTCAACAAGTATCGATACCTCAAAACCATTTTTACGCTTTTATTTCGAGCTGAATCAGACGTCTGACCTTTCATTTTTATCGTTTTTGTCATTTTCTTTTTCCCCTAGCATGGATTGCCATCATAACTTAAATTGGATTGAATTATACTTATAGATGATGGAATGGTGGTACCAATCTGCTGAAGAGAGAATGTCAGCTCCAACCATATACCCTCCACCTCCTCCACCTCCACCTCCGCAGGTAAAGTTCAAAGAAATCAGATGTAATCATGTTCTTAGACTGTAATGGCACTTCCAATCGATCAAGGTCTTGGCATGTTGCTTAAATAATCAAGTCTAATCTATCATTATAAACAGGTTGCCAAAGAGGGGATTCCACTGCCACCCGATAGAGCTCTTTGTCCTCTCTGCTCACAGAGGCGTGCGAATCCATCTGTAATTACAGTTTCTGGGTTTGTCTTCTGCTATGCCTGCATCTTCAAGTATGTTTCTCAGGTGAGGCTCTCCAGGTGCTGTTAGCTTTATAAATAGATAAACACACATCTCATATCCGTTGGCAAGTCTATTACGTGCCTATCCTCGGACTTCCCACTTTTAATTGATTACGGTTAATGGCAAAAAAGAAGAGATCAAATCTCCTTTGGAGCTAAGCATATAGGTTGATCTCGGCATCTTGCATACTGTCGAGTACATCAACAAGCCTGCATATATCCCAATCGGGGGAAGAAAAAACTGTCTTGTGAATATTTTGCATCTTATGTAACCGATTATCTTTTTATGTCTCGTTGTTGACACAGTATAAGAGATGTCCGATCACATTGATGCCTACTACTGTCGATCAGATTAGGAGACTCTTTCACGACGTGTAGAAACACCAGAAATGCTGGATCCGCTTGGGTATCGATGACCGGCGACGCAAATAATCGTTCCATGGGGGTTTCGTAGTAATCAGGGAAAGGAAATGAAGAATGTTGTATTTGATTATTTGTTGTTGAATACTATACGTACGATAATAATACAACAGATTTATGTGACGAAACAATTAGAAAAATAACATAACTACGTGAATCAAAACATACACAAGACATTTGTTCTCAAATTTCAAAACTTCATGTCCAGATCTTCCCAAGTTTGCCTCAAATGGAGTGGACTTCCGTGACACTTTCTGATCCTGCACAACCAAACGGCATTTTGTCAAAAGTTCGATTCCCCTTCTCGTCAAAGTTCAGATCTCCTTCTCGTAGTTTAGAACAGATAAGAAATTTATCGCTTGAATAAACAGAAACATCACTTCAATCTCTTACCTGTCTGTTTTCCCATATTGGTTTGGCCATTCCTCTGCAAGAAGAGCCTGCCCGGTCCGATTCCAGTAGCTCCCAACGGTTCCTATGATCGGCATTTCCTCCGGAATCGGGCTTCGTGACCTTTTCGGAGTAGAAGAAGCTGACTGCTGCTTAAGCTCCTCAGCTGTCCAAGCTCCCAGGATTGGCCTATCTTCACCGCTTCCGGGTGCATTAAACTTGTTCCCCACGGAATTATTGCTACTAGCATTTGACATTGGTGTGGTCTCAGACTCAACCAGCCAGCTCGAGAGGCTTGTGTCGATGCAAGAAGATGACTTTGTCCTCGGCCTTGCGAAGAGTTTCGACTGCTTCAAAGCAGGCTCCGGACTAAAGGGTAATTTCAAATCTTGCTCCTCCTCCACCTCCATGTTTATGTTCTCCTTCTCTTTGTGCTGCTGCTTTGGAGCTTCTGCTGGAGTTGACTTTTCTTTGACCTCCTTCTTCCATTGACCAAGATTTTCAACGGGGGTCAACACTGCCTGAAAACTCTGCCTTCTGCAATCTCTTCTTCCATTTTGCTGCTTTGGCATTGGACTGTTCACCTCCTTCTCTTCTGTTCCAGAATCATCACAAACTTCTTGTTTTCGAGAATCAATCGATAGCGAAAACAAGGACTCAGAAGACTCTTCTTCAACAAAGATTTGCTTACTACTCTCAAATTCATCAGCATTAGCACAATCATCTTCATCCTCACTATTTTTGCACTTTTCATAACGGTGATCCAACGGTACAATCAAATTCGGTTCAATCCCTTTTCTTGTTTCCTCTTCATTCTCCTTCTCATCACAGATTTCCACCAGTACATTGGAGAGTTCTTCCTTGGTGGAGGTTTCTCCATCATTTGCCTCGGCATTCAAATCAAATGCGACTTTCTTTGTATCACCATTCTTTGATTGTTCTTCACTCTTCTCTCTAATCACACACATCAATGAACAAACATAGATTATAAACAACACAAATTCCGTAGATCCAACGAAGCGGATTCTCCGAAAAATGAAACAAAATAAAGATCCAAGCTTTGACAATGGATTTCTTACTCTGATTCTTTGCTGTGTTTAATGGCTTTTATAAGTTCTTCTAGCTTTGTGGGTTCAGCTTCAGCAGGTTGGATTTGAAGAGCTTCTTCAGCAACTTCAATGCTCTGTGACAAATTACTCTCAGACGGGTAAATACCTAAAGTACCAAAATGGAAATGGCAGTAAAAAATCACAGGAAAAAAAGAAACTTTGTGGGCTTACATGGTGCTTAAAGGGAGTTACAGTGACTGAACTTTTGAGCTTTCGGCGTATACAGGTAGAGAAGCACTTTGGAAAGCACCCCATGAATGATGGTCGACTTTTACAGCTGACTTCTTTCGGATGACTTTTACTTTGGAAGAGAGAGAGAGAGAGAGAGAGAGAGAGGACTGAAGACACAACGGTCAAGAGGGTTCGAAGACGAAGAATCTGAAAGCTTGAAAATATGCCCGTTGAGATTCTGTCTTTGGGCTTCTTTTAATGGAAGTTGGTTTGGGTGGGATGAGAATCTACTAAAATGATAGTGACCCAGCCCAATATTGGATCCTCTTTCTCCTCTCCATCTAGAGAAATTTTGTATGTGTTGGGAAAACAATCATTTGTTAGGGTTGAAATATATATTTTTCTGGTGATCAAAAGTTTAGGGGAGGGGAGGCTACACCATCCTAGGGTCAGAGTATACGACAAATTTGTTTGAGGACTTACCGGGGGTTTTAGCCCTTTTTTGGATTTTACTACAGATAACTGACCAAGAAGGATTACTGACAACAAAACTCGAACCTAAACCTTAGTCTAGCGAAGAAAACGATCCTTATAGCCTTGCGGTGGTGGCTGACCTATATCTTTCACAAAAACCAAACATTTAAAAACCCACCCATCTCTCTTCCTCTATATCTTTCACAAAAAAACCCTAATTTATCTCACATAAAATCTAAAACCATTGGTTTACAATTCAGAGTCATCCTCCTTTGGTATCCTTCACAAGGTATGTTCATTTTGATGTGTTAGTAGTTTATTGTCCTATTAGGTTGGAGACGTTGATGTTGTGCCTATTTTACTCTTGAAATATGTTCTTAGTTCGAGAAATATTAAAATAACTCTCTTAAAATGAAACTCTCTTCTAAAATGAAACTATCTATTCGAATTGATGTTTTTCAATTAAGCGAAATATTTTTACTAAATGACTAAAATAATTAACGATGGATAATCTTATGAACAATTTTTATTGATCTTAAATCTCAAAAATTAAAATGAATAGTTATATGAATCTTATAGATTATTTTGAAGGAAACTTTAACAAAAAATCACGGTACTGTTCATTTTAATGAAAAATTATATTTTTACACTAAAAAGTTACTCAAGATACTATTTATTATACCATTTTTTTATTTTTATCATTAAAACTCAAAGTTTTCAAACTATCATCTTTCGTTTTTCTTCTTTTGAATGAAAAGCAATTTATTTGATTAGTGGGACTTGTATAGTGTATGGTAAGTGCTGTCCTCTCAAACTTCCTTATTAAATCGAACAATTAATTTAGTGGACCATAGCCACCAAAATTGAACCTTACCAAGCATAAATAAATAATTATTTATCTAAAAATATCCATCACTGTGACAACGACTAGACATAGCCCTTTCGTAACTCGTGACCAATATGTTGTTTTCAGAAAACGAAATATTCACAAAAATGTTGTTGTCTTGATGCACCTTGTACGTCGAATACCACGAAATGTGGGTCTTCGAATGCCACAGATAACATGGTATCCCTGTTGGTATTTTTATAGTACCAGTTTCATGCAAGGTTTTCATTTCACTGTTCATGAAGCGGGATGTAATAATTTACGATCTTATAATGACAGCTTCGTGACCACATACGGACAATTTAATAAGAAAAACTAACGAAAAATTATTAAAATTTTTAGTTTTTAATAAATAAATAAAACAAAATAAAGATATAAGTGAATAATACCATAAATGTTTCGTTAAGATTTCCTATTTAATATTCAAAGTATTCAATTTTTTTTTGCTACACAAAATGAACAAACAATATAAGAACATTATTTGTCCCACTCCATGAATACCGAAACAGAATCTCTAAGAAGGCACTCGCGTGTACAGATGTATCAACTACTTATGACATGCAAATCGCGTGTACAGATGTATCAACTACTTATGACATGCAAAATAATTGTTTTAATCAGGTTCTAAAAAGCTCTAGTTGGATGGTAGACAAATGTTTAGTACTTAGTTGTCTAGTCGAGGGTCTAGGTTGGTTTTTTTAATTTTAATTAAATTATTATATAACATATAATTAAATATTTATTTATACTTAAAAGAAATACATAATTATATTGAGATACATAAATTGCAAAATTGAAAGACTCATAGATTATAAAGTATTAAATCATATTTGAAACATGGAGAACGAATATATAGTGAGCATTCATCCAAGTATTCAACAAGTCTCTTACAATTTATTAAAAAAATAAATGAAAATTATATATTTTCAGTCTAAATGAAAGTTGCGACCTAGGTGAGGATGTCTAGGCAGATCTAGGCGATATTTCTTAATTTTCAAACTCTTATAATTAATCCGGAACAATGGAAATTTTCAGAACACTGATTACAATATCTCTTTTATAATAATTCACACTTAAATGAGTACATTAAATTTGATTTTTCTTTACAATATTTTCATGATATTGTAATTTCTAAGTTCTAACAAGCGCACTCAACTCTCTATCATTTTTTTTTTGAGATGTCCACCATTAGTTGAATTAAAAAACCTCTACCACTAGCTTGCATTTCTTAAAATGGATTTAACCCATCATTAAAACAGATAAATAATAAATACACACCGGACAAAGACTTAGTCTTCTGAAAAAAGAGAGTCCTAATCGTCATAACTTCATAAATAAATAAATAAATAAATATATATATATATATATATATGGGGCAGATGCGTGACATCATTTTTTTACATAACTTTTGACACATGTTTTTTGGGGCTCACTCTTTGTGTATTTTAACGGTCCGAACTATCTTTCTTTTGAAACATCATTCATATAATTGCAAAAAAATAGACAAATCCAAAATCATTAAGACATTCACTTGTAGCGAAGAAAATAAACAAATACAATTCTATAAAAAAAAACCTTAAACCCTTAATACAAGGGTCATACATTTTCATATTTGAGTAATTTTTTGTAGACATGATATTTGTAAGAAGAACTAAAAAATAAACAGTTCGGATTGTTAAAATATACCATAATATAAGTCCCTCAAAAACTTATATAAAAAATTACATAAAAAAAATAGTGCGACGGATCTGTCACTAGGTACATATTATTCATGAATCGGTTTACAAAAGATGATTTTTTTTTCAGCTATATATTATCAACTAGAAGGTGATAATTATATGCATGGTGGTCCTTGTACTAGCTGTATGTGTCTGCGTGGATAAAAAGAAACTACCAAGTTGGCATCTCATCAACTTGGGTTAATTTTGGGAATTTCATTTTATATATAACAAATTTGAACTTGCAAACCCTAGTTAGATGACTAATTACTTTGATTAGTCTTCCCCAATTTGATTAAAATAAGTTTTTCCAATCTAAGATATGCACGATTAGGAAGTTGCTAGCTAAGTTACCAATTTAATCCCATCACCACCAAACTCCACTTCAACCTACTAGCATTAAACTAAGATAGTGTCATTTATACACCTATTTTTAACTCTACACCTTTTTTAATTTTTTTATCTTTTTTCAACTCATTCGATCCGATAGTTAAAAATTGAGATGAGTGTATAAAGTAAAAATGGATGCGTGGATAACACTACCCTAAAATTATACCGCATGCATTTATAAGTTGAGCTTCATCACTAGCACTACGTACGATTAATTTAGAGTGGTTCTATTCACACATATATTTTTACTTCTCACGCACTTGTTTTAATTTTCAACCTTCAAATCAAATGAATAAAAGAATATCAATAGACACAAATTTACAAAAATGTGTGGAATGTAAAAATGAATGAGAATATCACTGCTCTTAATTTAGTGATATGTTTCTCAAATTTAACTCTCATAAATATCAATTCGATATCTAATTACAGTTAATTTATTGTGTAACCGGCTTAGCCCAAAGCTCGTTTCTTAAATATTGTTGAGATCTGTGAACGACTCTCTTTTCTCTATTACTCATGTGATCATGTTTATTAGGGGTTCAAAAAGTGAACCACTTGTGTAATAAAATTCTATAATATAGTAATTTAATGACAAAAAAGTACCTATCTTAAAAAAAAAAAAAAAAAAAAAAAAGAAGATCCAAATATGTTAGCCTCTAGTTAGGACCCGCTTCTCTGCCCTCCCACTTCGCATACACTCTCATCCCCTTCTATTTTGTGCGGTCGCGGTTAAGTAACGTCAGCATTTTATGTTAATTTTTTTTATAGAGATAATAAAAAAAAAGTAATAGTAATATAAAATATTAACGTAATTTAACCGTAACTGCATAAATAAAAAGGGATGAAAATGTTTGAGAAGTGGAAGTGCAGAGAAGCCGGATCCTCTCATTAGGACCAAAATAGTTAAAGTAGTGAAAAGCAAGTGTGAGTGTCAAGTCTCGAACATACTATACCAATAAGCTAAATAATGGATTAATTAATCATAATTTCCAACTTTGCACTCCAAAACTATATATTTATTCAACTCAGTTCATAATTATTGAGGTTGGTCAAATCCCCTAGTTTTATTATGGGGAGGAAGTAAAGTTTTACTTGGGGGAGGAAGTTGGTCTTTGGTCAATGAACTAGGATTTGGGTTATGTAGACAAAATTGTAGTTTAAATTTGTAAATTAAATTATATGTTTTTAATAAAAAATAAATACAATAATCAATACTTAAATAATAATTTAATTATAAATTTTTATATGATTTAGTATACGAAATTTAATTTATAAATTTAACTCTATAACATTATCCCAAGAACTTAGTCAAGAACTAGAAAAAAGCAGCATAAAAAGTGAAGGGGTTTGGTATTTTGATGAATTGGGTTCGTGCCATGTGTCCACTCTTCCGAGAACCACCACTCTCCACTATCTTATACAAAAAGACACTCTCTGCACCATCATCTAACTGCACAAAAATCTTAACAAGATCGAGTGGATGTCTGCGGTTGTTCAGAGAGGATGATTTGTCTGTTTCCTTCTCGTGAAACTCAACCTGGTCAGCTCCTCCCTTGCCACATACACCTCCCTCCCTCCCTCTCTCTCTCTCTCTCTCTGAAAGTTCCTGTCCTGTCTTGGTTTTGCTGAGACACCCTTTGGATTATTTCTGGTGCTAATATTTATTTCTTAATTAAAGATAAAAAAACACCAAATTTGCTGTTTCTGGCATCAGCTTTTAGCCACGCTTATCTGTGTTCTGTCAAGCTGTTTGCTTCTTCTTTTTGTGGAATCAGTGGCATGAGTCTCTTTGCATGGGCTCTCTTTTTTGGTTTT